CACATGCCCTAGCACTCTTCAGCATCCATCCATTTACGCAGCATCATGTTTTTCCACACTCCCCCACCTACTCCAGCAGCTTTGGTCATCCTCCCAGCTGCCCACTTCCAGCTGCCATGTCTTGTGCCACTCCATGTCCTAACCCTACCATGGTTGGGGAAGGTTATATTGACCATAAACTGAATTTTATGGGCACGTGCCACATGCCCTAGCACTCTTCAGCATCCATCCATTTACGCAGCATCATGTTTTTCCACACTCCCCCACCTACTCCAGCAGCTTTGGTCATCCTCCCAGCTGCCCACTTCCAGCTGCCATGTCTTGTGCCACTCCATGTCCTAACCCTACCATGGTTGGGGAAGGTTATATTGACCATAAACTGAATTTTATGGGCACGTGCAAATTATTTGCAAATATGCAAATGATCTCATTAAATACTTTGTGTAAAATGTCACATGCAGGACAGTCGTTTAACTGCTGCTATTATGATAGCAACTAAAAACTCTCCACAGAAATCAGGGCCCCATTGTACTAGGGACTGTACAAACATTTAGGCACTAATACCACTGTAATGTAAATACGTTTCATCCAGACTCTCCATTAGAAGCTTTATTTTTTTAGGGGTCAATATACTGGCCAGAAAAATGTGCTGAAGTTGGTTACTTTACAAAGAAGACTTTTTCTCTTGAACATTCTCATTGAAGTTGGTTTAGTTTTAGTGTTGTTTTTGTTTTTTTGTTTTAAAAAGGATTATAACACTCACTTCAGCAGATGTCTGATGCTTTTTTGACCTCTAACAATAACAAGAAATGTTAGTTTTAAAATAAAATATCCAGGATATTAGTGTAGAAGGCAGAGTAAGAACTTTACATACTTAAAAAGCAAAATAGCTATGTTAATAACAATAATTAGTTGCTTTCATAAGTGCATATTAAACTGCTAGACAATTGTTATTGCATTTCTGTACACTAATATTGTTTCAGGCCCATATTATGGAACCTTTTCTCCTTTTGATTGATTTAGGGATATTACATATGCACTGTGGTCTAAATAGACTATTTTTGGGGGTACAATACAGCACATTTTGACAGTTTCAAAATAAATGGGGTTCTTACTAAAATGACAATGAATAATTCTGGTGCAAAGGATACAATTATGGACTGAGCCATATTGAAAGCTTAATTGTGGTGGCAGAAAAGGTAAGGAACAAAGCTTAAATGGAATGATGGTGTCGCAGCTGGATGGTGCAGAATTAAACCTCTGGATGCAATAATTGTATGATAAGGAACATCTCCAGGTGCTGCAAGAAATGAGAGATGACTAGTACTAAAAATAAATATAGTAATCCAAATCCCAACCATTTAAGAATGAGTCAGCAGCTCCCCCCTCAAATCATGAAACTGGCTTCAAATTTATGAGATTAAATAAAATTTGAGTTATTTTTATTTGCTTGTTTTTGAACCTTTAGGGCACACTCAGGTCAGAATTTCTTTTCAGCCCTGAAAAGGGATGTGGGAATACCTCCTCAACCAGCACCCCCTCCCCCCCATGGGCAAAAAAGGATTTGAAGCAGGCTGTCACATCTCAGGTGAGTTACGTGATGACTTCTGGACTATGGGGTGTTTTGATGTGGCACTCTCTCAGTCTCTCCTACTGAAGCAGTTCCACGTTGGATAAATAAATGAAAGTCTTTGGAGCAGGGGACTGGCTCTTGGGTGTCTTCCATCCTGAGTGAGGCTACAGAGTCATGCTTATGCTTCCATGCTTTCTTTCCATCAATCACCCACTTTGAGTTAGGCAGAGTAACTCCTGTATTTCCTTAGGGGTATGTCTATACTAAGAAATAAGTTATTTTGAAATTACTTCAGATTAATAACTCCCAAAATAATAATTTTGAAAAAGCGTGTCTGCACTATGGGAAAGTTTCAAAATTAGTCCGAGGCAGGCTCTGTTAATGTGGTCATGCTACCTCGACTCAGAGTCCCAGGAAGCACTGGGGAGTAATGACTTAGAATTACTCAAGGGAGTAGTTATTTAGAAATAGCAGCAGTGGAGCATCCACATTACCACTATTTCGAAATAACTATTTCATAATAAGTGTTATTCCTTGTGGAAAGCAAGAGTTGTGATTTTGAAATAACCAGACCCTTATTAGTGTAATGTGGATGCTCCATTTATTATTTCAAAATAAGAGGGGCTATTTTCAAATAACTCCCTAGTGTAGACCAGGGCTTGTTTTGTATATCACACTGAGGCATCAATTTCTGGACCCCTCAAGAGAGGCTGTAATGCATATGCACAGGAACAGAAACATAGGCACCTAGTGAGGTTAGGCACCAGTGTTGCTTGTAAGCTGTACATTTGTGCATCCATTCAGGGCAGATTCAATATTTCCCAGATGATTAGCAGAACACCTATAGCTTTTTTGTTGTTTGTTTGTACCGGTGGTGCACATTCCACATATGGATGGAAAATGATTCCATACATGGATGGAAAAAATCTGCACGTGGATGGGAAGGATTAGAGGGAATGTTGTTAGGTACCTACAGGGTGTGGCAGTGGTGGAGTGAGAGCTTTTTGAATCCCACTGAGGCCTGATTCTGGGATTTGAGTGGCTAAAGTGGTGGTTAGACAGCAATGTCCTTTGGGAATATAGCCCTACATATCATCTGAAGGTCTCTCTTTGCATGTCTTACTACAGTCAAGTTATGTTAAGATTCTGCACAGGTTTTTGAGGATAAGAAAGTATTTCAACAGATAGTTTTATATACAAGAACATGTGACTTCAGAAAGCCCAGAACTCAAATATCACTTGTGTCAATAATTTACATATTACTGACTGTAAAAACCGAATGGAGATCTAAAGAGCCAGATGGCATTAGTAAATCAGTTTTAGAACATAAACCCTGAGAGATGAAGTCCTAGACTAGGAAGCTTGCTATTGCCATAGGGAGAACTGTGATTTCAGTTCTGTGGTAGTTCCAAAAAATTGAGGGTCAAATCAAATCAAATCAAATTTGAAAAACTTGAAACAAATCACTTTCCCTATTTTGAAGTCTGGTCATAGTTATAAAGAATGACTAATTGCCTTTGAACCAGAAGGTGAGAACGGCTCTAGAGGCTGATTGCTGGACTATTCTGTAAGGTTGTAGAAGGCCCAAGTTCAAGTTCCTGGTCCTTTGCCTATTTAATTATTTATACGAAGTGTAACAGTTTCAACAGGAGAAACAGTTACACCAGAATATCCTTTAGACAAATGTACAGGGCTCTGTCCTAGAATGTGGGAGACATGAAGCGGAAGAGGAAAGGGAAATGGATCTTCCACTTCCCAAAAAAGTACCAAAACCAACGATCTAAAAGTCATTGGGAAGGCAGCTTCTCCACTTCCTTCAGCTGTTGTAACAGCAGTGTCCCAGTCCCCCCTCCTTTCAAATTCTTTGTGGTGGAAGCCAGTCAGCACATGTGCAAAATGTTATGGATTGACCAAAAGTGAATGTTTTTCGGTGAATAAACTATTTTTTCTGAATAGAGATTTAGCTCAGAGCTGCTTTAAAATTCCAACATTAGTTGATGAGCAAGGGGGAAATTACCAAACGGACCAGGCCTGATTTGCATTTGTATTATGAGACAAGTTGAGGCATTTGGGGTCAAAATTCAGTTAAGTTTGGGAGTAATACAATATTATTCTCCCTACCAAGTAATGAAAGAACAAGAACAAAAAATACCCTGCACAAAATGTGCTTAAGTGAGAGGCACCATATCCAAAACCACAGTCTGGTGTGTTTGGTTATCAAAGTCTAGCTAAAGCTGAGAGGAAAGTGAGAGAGAGAAACACTGTATTTTGTGTCCTATGTTTCATAAGGATGTGAGAGTTTAGTCAGTTAACAGATAAGCTCATACTGGTTAAACTCTGTCCACTCCAGGGGTGTCAGCTACTCTCTGGTGTGGGCTCTGTACCCAGACGCTCCCAGCATGTGCCAGTTTCCGGCTGCTAGCCCCACTCTCTGAGACCGGGCCCAATGTCCCAGGAGGGGGCTGGCAGAGCCTGTGGGGTGGGCACCCCTCCCTCATCCTTCCCTCACTAGTCTCTGCCTGTACATCTCCAGGTAAAACAGTAAATTGTGTAACCAATAGGATTTTTAATGGTTAGACAATTACTGTTTTTATAGAATTTTTATATTCCTAATATGCTATTGATGTTCTCTGAAGATTTTACAAAAAGCAGCATGCAACTGGCAGATGGTGCAGAATTCAGAGAGGGCTTTTTATCCACCACTAGTCAGTGAAAGTTGTAATTTCTACTGCTGAAATGGGTAGAAAAGTCTCCAAAGCAGCATTTATCTGAGGGATCATTGGTTTACTTTTCCTAACTTGATCTCGGGAAACTATGGACAACACACAGTGAGTGAGGATGCAGAAAAGGCTGTGAAGGGGTGAAGGGACTTTAAAAGGAACTGAGTTTCAGACTATAGCTAAGACATGGGGGGAGGGAGGGAGAGTGTGGTGGAGAGTCTTACTTCATAAACAGATACTGTTGGTTAATTATTACTGGCTTTCTGTTCCACTTCTCCTCCCAAAAGAGTTTGCTTTGTTTATGAAACTAACCCATTGCTTGTATGAGGAAAGTACTGCCTATCAAGGGTCCCAGGAAGGTATTTAGTTTTCCCAGGTTTCTGAGCTTGGGCTGGTGTTGTTTAAATGTTTATAAGGAGCGCCACGATAACTGAACCTGACCTTTTCGCTGCTGGAAACAATTTGCAGAGGGGGTACACTAAATAGCTAAAATGATCAAAAGGTTATTCTTTTCCTAATTCACTGCAGTAAGACAAGTATTATAAACAGGGCTGCAGAACTTCTAGAACTAACTGAGCAAAAATGTGGGGTCTGATCCTTTGTTGAGTCATACTGAAATTCCAATGAAATCAAAAGTGGGATTTTGTCTAAGTAAAGGAGTGCAAGATTTCACCCAGTATTTTAACAACTGAAGTCTGAAATACACATGAGGTTCATATTTTAAATAGACATAGTATAGATCCAAGTCACTATGTTCATATCCAAATTTGGCTTCCAAATCATATTTGAGATGTTAGGATCTAAGGTTTTATATTGTCCCTCTCTTATTTTTAACAGTTCTCTTGTTCCAGTTTTCCGAAGCTGGGAGAGTGGGAAAAATGAATCCAGAATTAAAGATTTGCAGCAAACAATTACAATGTTATACCAGTTATAGACTTAGCTTGCCACCAGTTGTAAAAATATTTTACATCATCAGAGAACACAGTTGATTCACTTTCTGACAGGTCATTTTGAAATAATTTGAATAAAAATAGCTATTAGAAAATAAGAAATTTGTCAAGCATACCAGGGTCTGGATGACTGGACTCTTTGATTTCCCAGCACTGAAAAGATCCATCATTGGAGGTTACAAGGTAACAAGTTAAACTTTGAATGATATAGAACAGTCCAATATACTGTTAGTTAAAAATCTACCACAAAACTAGGAAATTAAAAGCTATAAATATACATGAAAACTTCTCCAACAAAAGAGTTAATTGATCAGATAGTTTTGGATTTAGTTTCATGGCCTCTTTTGTTCATAATATATGGTAGATATGTAAATAAAAAAGAAAATGGAAGAGGCAATCTAAAAGAGGCTTATGTAACATAAGCAACTAGAATAGAGAGTATGTGTTAAGTGCAGCTACTCATGAAGAGTACTGACCAGAAAAAAAGGGGAGGGTTGTGGTTGCAATAGTATCGGCTACATGGCAGCTAGGCATTTGTTGTTTGAGGAGACAGAGAAGAATTAAAGCAAAAGAGTAACAAAATTGAAAGAGAAATTGAGGTAAATTTAGAGGAGACAGGCTTTTGGGGCCAATAGCTTTAGCAGTAGTTACTCATGTACTTTTGATGTAACTTTTTATATTTAAAACCACATTTCATTATAACAAATAATGCATTGAGATGACCTAAATAGTTTATCTGAGATTGGGTGGTGGCAGAGATAGAAGGGAAGATTGAACCTGACTTAATTTCTGTTCATTTCATTGCAAAAAGATATACATGCACACATGATTGTTGTTGTGATCTTAACTGGAAACGCTAAGTACTGTTATGATACAAATAATAACTACTGTTTTGGGCACACATCTGTGAAAATGACCCAAAGCCCTGATCCTTCAATGTGTTATGCACAGGCTAACTTCTGTGCCTGCATGGTCACATATTTAAATTGAAGGTCCATATTGTAGGATCAAGATTCAGAGCTGCATGTCAAGTAAATTTGAATACTACTTTTTGGTGGAATTGATCAAAGATACATTTAGGGTGGTGTAAAGGTTTGTGCAGACTATGGTGAAGAGAAGTTGTAGCAAATGGAGGGGAACAGAAAAGAGAATGGAATGAGGTAATCCTGAGAAAACATAGTTGGTTAAATAATGCCATGAAACTTCCAATTCTCAACAATGGTCAGAGATCAAGCAGTGTCTATTTATACAGATTGAAGATTAACCAGTAAGTAAAGTCCTCCCTGCCTTGGCAAGTTTACATTCTATCTATTGCTGCTGTTTGCCAAGTGGGATTTTTGTGTGATTAGAATGAATACAGATGGTCAAATGGGTATATTACAGGGTTTACCTAAGTTGAGCTAAGAAGGAGGACATATTGATGTGACCTACAGGGTGAGTTCAGTTTGAGATTCCAAAAGGTTTGTACAGCCAGAAGGGGACATTTTTACAGTTCTTAAAAGGACAACGGCAAATTTAAAATCACATTTCTACCAGATATTTTTGTCCCTTTAATAGCTGTATGTAACATCAAAATGATTAATTAAAATAATTCTCTATTTTTCCATTATGTTTACTTGTTCATTTCAAAGCTTTTTAAGTCAGTTTTCCCTGCTCCCCCTCTATAGTCCACATGTAATTTTTGAACAGCCACTGAAACCAGCTACCTGACTGAAGTCTAAAAGTCATTTTATTATATAAACTGCAGTAGTTTTACTTTACTCGGTTTCAATAAATTCAAGTGGATGGGATCTCTTTCATTGAACAAAGCTACCATTTTGTTTCCCTTGATCTTAATACATACAATTTGACATTAAGGGACAGAACTCTGGGCCCAGTGAAATCAACTGGAGTTTTGCTATTGATTTCTCTGGAGCCAGGATTTCATCAACAGTTTTCGGTGAGGTTTGTTGAAAACTAGAATGTGGAGCAAATGTACTACCAACATGCCTGATCCTTTACGTGGATCTGCATGAATGGACTTCCAAAGAGACTCCATGTGAGGAACAGTGGATCTTCATTTATAGAGATCTGATTGCAAGTTTAGGGCCTAAGTGCCCCTGCTAAGTAGCTAATTCAGTGCTGAAATACAAACAGTTTGAGAAAGCTATCCCTTCTCACTGTTCCTTGGCATGGATATAGAACGGCATTTGCTCAGTCTATTAGCACTAAGGATTGTTGACCAGATACTGTATGTTCTACCATTTTGTCCTTTCATTGGCTTAATTTCAGTGACCACTACTGTATATCATTCTTTGTACTTACACTGAATCATATTTTATTTTACTTATTACGTTTGCTAAGACAACAGCCTCCCTAAGTCAAATGATTAATCCATTTTATGAAATCTCATTAGCAATAATATTAGTCATTGCCCATAATCAGATTAATGGCACCTGGAGTATTGTTCTTCAACCAGAGTCTTGACAAAAGATGTCCGTATGACTCTACTGGAGGGGAAAATCACTATTCAAAATGCCAAACATTAGTTATAATGCAGGGTGCTGTTTTCAAAAGTGAGCCACATTGGCCTCCCTGCTTCCACTGAAGTCATTGTTAAAACTCCTATTTATGCCAGCCAATGTGTGTTTGTGAAAACTATATCCCACAGTCTTAGTATAATACAGGGGTTCTCAAACTTATGATACCATGACCCACCTCTCCATTGCTGCAACCAGCCTCTCAGTTGCTCGTGACCTCCTTCTAAGTTGTTTGCAATCTCCCTCTAAGTTGCTCGCAACCCCCTGGGGGGTCGGGACCCACAGTTTGAGAAACGCTGGTATAATACAACAAGTTTCTTAAGATCACTAATACATGTTAAGAGGTAAGAGCTCCACAAAAATGTATAGGAGATATTCTTTGCCAATTAGTAACAAATCTCAGGGGGCAACTTGTCCTGAAACACTTTTATTAGATTCATACGAGGGACAAAAATGTCTCTGGGGACTGTAGCCTGTTTTGGTCAGGGGAATAGCTTTGTTTTGAGTTATTTCATGAGTGTTTCGATAATAAATTGTACCATTAGGGCAATAGGAGGGCTGAAGCCTAGTAAATACAGCTAACTCCTCAGGGCAGGGAATGTCTTTCATTATGTTTCTGTACAGGATCCAACACCTTGGGCCATTAGGCGTTACTATGGTACATTATTAATAGAAAACTGGCTGGGTTATCACTTGTTGATATACCTAGCCGTTTAGCTATAAATCTTTAGATGTATTTGTTATACTGATTTAAAAATGCATAGCAATTTTATATGTAGTGTATTTTAGGTTGTGAGATTTGTAGTTACTTTAAAATTTATTAAAGTTATTTTTAGATAGTTTTTTCTTGATCTGGGACTAACGCCTTCCGTTATCATTTTTGCCATCTCTAGAATGATAAAAGCCAGGAAATTCAGAGTTAAGCTTAAATTTAAAAGAAATCTTAACAAGTGAAGCTATGGAAACACACAATAAAGGCACCCAACTCTGCTCCATAGTGACCCTGTGCATTAACTACACAATTATGATTGGTACACAGTAGTGTTTGTGGTCCTGGATTAGATTAAACTGATTTTAAAGGTGATGAACCAGAGGCTCGAAAGATTGTCTAGGGGTGGCATTTTGTGGCAAGGGACTGGGGCCGCGAAGGAGGAAAGCCCAAACTTAAATGTACTTAACCAATTACAAACTTTATTAACTACAATCTGATTATATTAAATTACTGTCTCTGATTTGTTTAAGACAATGTAGCATGCAAATAAAACATACATTAAAGAATATTAGTTTGCCTATTCACTGAACAGCCCCTCAATTCTAGTTCTTATTTAGACGTAGGTGTGGTACCATTATACAATATGGTTAATACAATACAACTAACTATTGCTAAGCTGATAAATAATATATTAAGCAATATTTACAATGACAGTGACAATTACGATACACAGACAAAAAACAATGTGTAGCATGCTCCGGGTTTGTACACCTTTTTGTGATTCGGTGGGTGGGAGGCGGTCTTGGGTGATTAACCCCTTAGCCAGGCTGGACGATACGTGCCTTCTATCTTGATATAGAACCTCCCCGAGCTTAGGGCTCAGGGTGCTTTATACTATAATTTTGACATCCGGTACCATATTAGGGTTATTTGATATCCGGTACCATATTAGGATTTCTTCCTTGTGATATGATGTCTGCCTCAAGGCATTGTGGTCAGTGCCTGATGCAGACATGACTGGCACATATGAAAGCTAGCTATGTTTTTGCTTCCCTTCTCCAGGTGCTTGTTAACTGATGTATATGACAGCTCATTTCTCTTATTCCTATCTTGTCCTGTTTTTTAGTGCTCGTTAACTTAGTGTACAGGACAGCTTGTGTCCCTACTCTTATCTTATTGGCCCAGGTGCTTGCCAAGTTAAGTTCCATTTACTGAGAACTGTACTGAGCACCCGAGGGATTTCAAGCTCCATCTCTGGATCCACCTCAGCGGCCTGTGTTTTTCTTGTGAGGGGCTTTAGTGTGGCAGTATGGGCAATAAGCACGAGGCCATGGTCAAAAGGACCTGCTACATGACAAAAGGCATATTCCTTACACAGAGGAAGGGGAAGGGCAACTTGTTAATGTGTCTGCAGATGGAGCAGGAGTCTTGTCTGCACAACTCCATGAAGCTCTCCCATAGGAACTCTTTAATCCTTCTCATGAAAAGCCACCAGGAAATGGTCTGACGTCACTGAACCACAAAGCAGTGCAGCACAAGGCCCAGGTTTATGACCACATTCAGTCAGCATATGTGTCTGATCACTTGGAGTGATTCAGAGAAGACTGATATCTTGCATAGCAACCTAAAAGAGGGAGATGGGGAACCTATTAGCACTCTTCCCCGGGAAGCTGCATGTGCCAGACACAAATTCCGCTCCTCACCCATCCGCTCCCTAGGAAGCTGAATGTGCTGGACCTGAGAAACTTCTGTCTGCAACCGCCCCATCCCACCTGCAGGCTCCTGCTCTGGCTGGTCCCTTACCATGCCTGCCTGCCTCCAGACTGAATGCGTCCCATTCTCCCCTGAGAAGTCTGTGTACTGGCTGTGAAGTGCCCACTTTAAAGCAAACATTTGATCTTGCACAGAACAAATCTCCTTTGTCTTTACAGAGACTTTTAGTGTAGGCTAACAGATTAGGGGTAGGCTTAACACACTATCTGCTGTAATGTCTTCCCTTGTAACATTTCATTGAAGCTGGGACAGCAGCCATCTTGGTGCATTCTCTCTCGCCCCCCCCCCCCCCCCCCCCCCCCCCCCCCCCCCCCCCCCACCCCCCCCGCAAGC